GACGATTTTCTTTCCGAAAATGGAATATCAATGTATTCAATAATGATTTATACAAACAAGGTCCGTCATTTATTTAATTGCTTGAAAATCAAAATCAAACCTTTAAATCTTTTCACGTCCATTTTATTTTATTCCTATTTATCTTAATATATGAAGTCTGCTTATGTTCGTATTTATCATTATTGCCGTTATTAATATCATTATTAGTTCCCTGACACATTAAGTATTCTTTTAGTATCTTCTTATCCTTCCAAACATATTTAACTCCAGATTGTCCTTTGAAATCAATTTTGACTTTCATAGCATCAATCTTAATTATTATTGCACAAATATTTATACTAATATCAGGTTTCATTCTGTATACTATTACATAAATCTAAATGTATTCATCCGAGTGCTTTAAAGGATTTTTATTTTATTTTTCTTCGATTGCTGGTTTCTTTCTAAGGTTGATATTCATTACACAATTATTATTCTTATCATGGATGAACCTTTTCACTAGGTGTTTACTTCTTTTCTTTCTCTTCTTTCCCTCTGAATAAATATTGTTCTTAAGATTACGAAGTTTGTAATTAAAACAATGACTTGTGTTACACTTAAATTAACTTCTTAGATTCGTTTTATCTTCACTATGCATATATGACTCATACAGAGTGATATTTTATTATCCTTTTCAATTAATTGTGACTTTCATAGCATCACTCTAAATTATAACTGCACGAACATTTATTCTAGCGTCATATCTTACTACAATGACAAATTATTTTTTTTACTAATTTAACGATACACACGTAGTCGTTTATTCTTGTTCTGTGTTCATAAACACGCCTATTACAATGTTTGCGTATTTCACGTCTCCTTTATTTCTATTCCCTTATTTTCTCCATTTCCTTCTTTAAACTCAATTCAATATTCTTCTCAATTACAAACACCCGATTTATTATTATTAGTCTATTATTACTATTTTAAATTTTTTTATTTTTTTATTTTTATTTTTATTTTTTTAATATGCCAAATATAATGCTAACATTATTGAAAATTGTGTATTATTGCATTTTTTGAAGAACCCGAAATGGTTTCTTCACAACATTTATGTACCCATAAGATGTTTGTGAATAATAATAATATTAATAATAATAATAATAAAAATAATAATAAAACGCTAACCAGAAAACATTATTCAAACCTTTTAAACTCTGCCTTGGGAGTCTGACGGTCTTCATTTAGAAGAAATATGACGCCTCATGATGAAAGCCGAATTCCTTCGGAAGTCACGAGGTCGAAAACCAGAGCAACCATTTATTTAGGTACATGGAATACTCGTACAATGTGGGAGATCGGGAGAGTCTTACAAATTGCTGCAGAAATGAGGAGATACAACCTAGAGGTACTTGGGATCAGTGAAACACATTGGACTCAAGTTGGACAACAACGAAAAACTTCAGGAGAGCTTCTGTTATACTCCGTCCATGAAGAAGAAAATGCCCCACATATACAAGGAGTTGCATTGATGTTGTCCAAACAAGCGCAAAATGCGCTTATAGGATGGGAATCTCATGGACCAAGGATCATCAAAGCCTCGTTCAAAACAAAGAAAGAGGGTATTTCAACGAAGGTCATCAAATGCTATGCGCCTACCAACGATTACAATGAAGACGCTAAAGATCAATTCTACAATAGCCTGCAGTCAATCGTCGAGAAATGCCAAACAAAGGACCTGACCATTCTGATGGAAGATTTCAACGCCAAGGTTGGAACGGACAACACTGGATATGAAGACATCATGGGACGACATGGACTGGGAGAAAGAAACGAAAATGGTGAGAGATTTGCAAACCTATGTGCCTTCAATAAACTGGTCATAGGCGGCATTATATTCCCACACAAACGCATTCACAAAACCACATGGACTTCACCGGATCACACCACGCAAAACCAAACCGACCATATTTGCAGCAACAAAACGTTCAGGAGGACGATAGAGGACGTGAGAACTAAGAGAGGAGCTGGTCGCCAAGATGAAATTGAAGCTCAAGAAGCACAGGACGACGGGGCGGTCAATATCACAAAAGTTCAATACAGCTTTTCTTCGGGATATTGACAAACTGAACAAATTCAAGATAGCCCTCAGCAATAAGTTCCTGGTCTTTCATGATCTGCTCAATGGAGAAGGAACTACTGTGGAAAGCAACTGTAAGGGGATCAAAAAGGCAATCACTTCAACATGTCATGAGGCTCTGGGCCACAAGAAGCACAAGAAGCTGTCAGTCTCGTTTGAGGTAAAGGTTGGTGTCAGGCAAGGTTGCTTACTCTCACCCTTTCTCTTTCTCCCGGTGATCGACTGTATCATGAAGACGTCAACATTTGAAGGGAAACGTGGGATACAGTGGACATCCAGGGTGCAGCTGGACGATCTAGACTTCGCAGATGACCTGGCCCTCCTATCGCAATCGCAACAACAAATGCATGAGAAAACGACCAGTGTAGCAGCAGCCTCAGCAGCAGTAGGTCTCAATATACACAAAGGAAAAAGCAAGATTCTCTAATACAACACAGCATGCACCAATCCGGTCACAATTGATGGAAAAGATTTGGAAGATGTAAAAACCTTACATATTTGGGCAGCATCATTGATGAACATGGTGGATCTAATGCGCTGGAAGTGGATAGGACACACATTGAGGAAAGCACCCAACTGCGTCACAAGACAAGCCCTCACATGGAATCCTCAAGGTCAAAGGAAAAGAGGAAGACCAAAGAACACATTATGCCGAGAAATGGAAATAGACATGAAAAAGATGAACAAGAATTGGATGGAATTAGAAGAGAAGGTCCAGGACAGAATGGGTTGGAGATTGCTGGTCGGTGGCCTATGCTCCATTAAAAGTAACAGGCGTAAGTAAGTAAATACTACTACATCGGGGCGCTTAACGTTTTGGAGAAGGTCGGAAAGCTTTTGTGAAACTCATCACTTACATCATCTGAGCTGCAGTCAGTTGGAGAGTAGGCCGAGACGACGAAGAGGCAATGGCGAGTGTCCCTATCTTTTCGAGTCCTTACACTTCCGTTTAGTCGGACAGCGCACAAGCGACTGTCTGCTTGAATCCAGTCTAAGAGGGCTAGTTCTGCCCTAATACTCGATGCTATACCTACACCAGCGAGGCTACGGGAAGCAGGATCAGGGCTTCCAGATACACGTAGCGTGGATCGGCGTTGTTCTTTATTTTGATATGGTTAGGTCGAATCAGTGACGATGCGCCTTTCAGAGACGCGGCACACATCGATGGTGCGAGATCCTAAAGTTCTAGCTTAGAAGGCTTGTTGTCCCATTTGGTACAGTGTTCGGACGTTAAAAGCTACCATATGTAGTTTAGAGCGTGGTTTCAGGAGACCAGGAATAACGTCCCGCGTACTCGAATCGTTTGCAATAACGGTGCGAAGTTAAAATGAACGTGATACGGGTTAGTCGTGGAGATAAAAGAGTTTTTAGGAGGTGTAGGAAGGACTTGAATGTGACCAACTTGGTCTCGTGTGTTGTTACGGGTATGAGGGCTGATGTCACTTCCCGGTTTTTCACAACAAAGAATGGTATTTTTCGAGGAACCTGAAGAGAAAGTTGGATTAGCGTTGATCTTAACGACCACACAACCCAAGGGACAACTGATTGAGGCCGGTCGCTCACAGCCTTTTTGTCTCAGGCCTTACCGCCAAAGACTGAAATCCGTGAGGTAAAGTGAACTGTAGTATTTTTATAGTCAACCTTCTCCAACACATTCCTTCATTGTGAGAAAGTAGCATCGCTGCAGACGCTAGTTGCCTCGAGGGAAACACCTTGCTGTTATCATACCCCTCTACATTCAGCCGTATTACTTCGCCCTCAAACCCTGAGTTGCTGTTTTCAGTCTTACCACTCTTCACTCGACCTGCGTGGTATGGTAGAACCTACAGTGACATATGTTCCAGCCAATATAGCTCGTTTGGGTCATCACAATAGGTAAGCCCGGACACCACTTCAAGGTAGCAGTTACGATCAGGAGACAGACATGAAAAGTGTGAACAACAACTGGATAGAACTAGAAAGGAAGGCCCAAGAAAGGGCAGGTTGGAGAATGATGGTCGGCGGCCCATTCTTTATTTGGAGTAACAGGCTTAAATAAGTGAGTAATATGTTTAATAGTTACCGAAACTGCGAACAAATTAGTTAACACTGCCGTCTACTAACGCTTTAATGACTTATCCTAATTTCTAGACATATGATTGAGGATGATACAGGTATTCAGTGTTTGACAGCGCTTCTACCAGTAACACCTAATATACTTTGTTCCCACCGAGAGAAATCAAAAGACAGAGTCGAGGAGATCGGAAGAGTGTATTTGGTGATAACCAATATATCAGAAATCTCTGATCTAATCTGGCTAGCGATTGCGGTAGATGTTGAGCACAGCGTTACCACACGTGATCTGGTGCGGATGCATGACCGAGCGCCTTCAGCTAGATGGATCCACTAAAACATATGGTCAGCATCCAATGTCGAAAACCTACAGAGCTATTTAGTTTGGGGATTTATTTGCCGCTACATGAACAACCCTATATTTTAAAGTCTTTTTTTAATCTATACGTATGTACGTTAGCACGTATGTGTCTACATGTTTACCTGTACTCTTCACACCCATAAATATTAAATCGTGATTTAAATAAAACGAGTCGTCACATTTTTCCTCCGTTTCGCACCTTTTATCACCTCTAGGCACGATTTATGTCTGAACTAAGGTCTTCATTCTTGGTATTCGGCATTTTAAATTCATTATATCTTAAACGAGGTTAGCCTGGGTAAAATATATGAAATCAAACGGAGAATTTATTTTCATGGTCAATTCACCGTTCGTTCCCACATTATTTCATATCATTGGCATACTTCTAAAAATGCCCATCCTCAGAAAGATCTTTTGTGCTATGTCTGTCAACCGAGGGTCGTAGAAAAAAGTTTAGTTCCTTAGTCCACTCGAAACTAACCTTGCATTCGACTTCGAAGGTCGGCGCGCTTATTGGTTTGGTTGAGGCACTACAATTTGATTCATATGGACCTCTAGGTTGCATCAGAAATACAAAGAATTAGTCAATATTATCGCTGGATAGTTTTATTGTTACCAGATGTAAGCAAACTTTGTGTGATCATCAATTAATAGCCAGAATTTCTCCTTTGTTCTCTTGGAGAATACTGTACTTACACATCAGCAAATTGCCTGACAACGACGTACCTCTTGAAAACTCATCTTCCCTACGACTAAAATATAGACAGAAAGTTTTGTAATGTGAGTTCTTTTCATATTCTTGATTACTTTTCATGGTTTAGGAGACACCACCTTCAGTGTTTATGGAACAAAGTTGAAAACGCTCCTGTCATTGTTAATACAGATGTTGTACGGACAGTATATAGATTTAATCAACCTGCATGTTCTTTTGGAAATTGCCAGTAAGTCATAGGCCGATGTATGTTTTTAATGTAGTCCACAAATACATGTTGACTTGGGTCAAACTTCTGAGCTTAGATGCTGCCAGTTAGCTTTTATCCCACTAACCGTCCAGGTTATCCTGATTTATGCAATCTTCATGAAAGCATTAAAATAATAACCCGCAATCTGAATGATTATAAGGAATTGATTATGATGTGTGGCGTAGCTCGTAACCTGTATATCCTAATTCTGAGATCTAATTCAGACATAAGTAAAAGTGACATTGCTTTCCATACAGTTCGTCTGATCCTTGTAAACATTCTTGGTAGATTGCTACTGTTACACTCGAAATAACCACATGAGTTACTCGCAAAGTTCCATGCTGAAAACTGCAGATATCGTTGGTCAAACTACTAGTTCTTAGAAATCTTTATCATCTAGATATGTTTTCCTATAAATAAGTGCTCTAACGTTTCCCGATTAGCTAAATTATATCTTTCACTTCTTCAACAGAACGACATGTAAATACTTATCTTCTTGCCTAAATGGCTTACTCAAAATAAATGTACTGAACGAAGAAACATATGACAAAACTGAACCAGAGTCTCCTGTTGAAAAGTTACTGACGGTAAGTTTATTATTACATAAATTTTTTGAGTCCATGTGACGACAAAGCATAAAATTATGGTGTAGACACTTTCCCTTTATTTGTTTGATATCCTAGTAACTATTCCGAGCTAGAAGCCATGTTCATGATATTTGAAGTTGTGCTTATATCTAACATAATTCCTTGTATGCTTCCTAAAATAAACTCATTTAAAAAGTTGCTACTGTCTTACGAATTCACAGTTGAAACCACCATTTATTGTCAAAGTAGGTTGTATCTGATTAAAAATGTCCAGTTTACGGCTTTTACACTGAACACGTGCTTTTTTCCCACTTAGTATGGTTTGGCCAATGTATTTTATGCATAACTGGCAATAAGTTTTTCGTTGCCTGGGCTTAACACCTGTGATTCTCACACACACTTGTTCCAATAATCCTTTCTTACGTCCTTGGTTGCTGTTTGTGTGAATTATTAGTTAAGAAATTCGTGTGTGATATTACCCCCTATATATTTTCAACTATTACTAAAACTGGGAAACAAAACCAGCGTTTTGGAGTAGTGTGATGAATATACAGTCTTATTAAACATACTCTAAATTATATATATTGTGCAACAAAAGAATGAAAGGTTAAATATAGTCTATAACCTGTCTGTTTGAGAAAAATAGCTAATCATTTTTATGGAAAACTTTAAATACTAGACTTAGTTTTGTTCGATCATGTAGAAGGTTCTTAAATGTTTTCAATCAAAACTAGCAATGCGAGTCAAAGTGCACAACTATGTTAGGAACAATAAAGCGACTTCTTTTTAACCTTAATTGGTACTAATCATATTGTTTCTTATTTCTAAATCTGGTTTGTAAGAAGAATCTATAATAATAACATGAATTAGTCACTTTATCAGCCCCAACAAAATTTAATTGACCAAAATCCCAGCATGAATTTTTAATAAACATTTGCTTTTTAACATCTTTCGTCATTCATAGCACTCGAACAATATCTAGCTTATTCAAGAAAATGTATACTGTACAGTAGTTGTTTTTAACAAACTACTACCGAGATGTGGAGAATAAAGTCTACATGGGTTACAAGCATTCAATCACAGCTTCACAGTGTTTTTCAGGTGTTGTTGAATCTTATCAACAACAATGTTAGGATTAAAGTGTAGTTCCGAATATACAGCCTAATCCAGTTAACGAAGTAATCAATTGTTATTAAGGTCACTATAAAGTCATTCACTTTAGCCTTTGACTCCTGCTTCGGTTTGGGCACCCGGGCAGTATCATAGCCCTCACACATATCAAATGAGATTTGTGTGGCGCATATGTATTTGGTGCCTCCTTGTACCAATATCTATGTGTTAAAATAAATAAATTGACTCAAGAAAATTTAAGGTTTTGGCTGGGCCCAGTGATTTTCTAAAATCATAAGTTATGGACCGTGGCCTATATATTTCCAAACCAATCAGAATAATGTTAGTGTAATCATTCTAATTCGTGAGCATCTCACTCACCTTAGATTTAATTCTCTCCTTTCTGATTGAGATCATGAATCGACCAGTGCTAGATCACCGCTAAAAAACCTGGAAGCACTGGAAGACCAATTCGTCCTGCTGCGGTACGCCTCAGCAGTGCGCATCCACGATCTAGCACGTAGGATTCGAGCCCAGGACCTTCGGTCTCGCAAGTGAACGCTTAACCTCTAGACCACTAGGCCGGCATCCGACGGTGTTAGTGTGCGTGCTTCCTCCTTGTTTAAATTCCTTTCCCTTTTTATTTCCTCCTGCATATTTTGCCTGTATTTGCTACAATTAATAAATTCAGGAAGTCAGATGACAACACTAGTTCTCACAGTAAATATATCCTAATTTAGTCAACAACTTTGTAAGATGTTGCTGAATTACAATTTTATGTTATTGCCAAATGTATACGCATCTAATCATTCTGGTATTTTAATTTATTTTTCATTCCACACATTGATTCATGCACATAAGCAGACCGTACATAATACTTTAAAAATTCATTCGAGGTCGCGCCACATTTCATATCCATACTTTTCTGTGAATAAGTTCCGAGTTGATTCTTTTGGTAAGACCTTGAAGCTTACTGCAAAACTCACGTTCTTATCTTGGGTCTGATTAAAATAAAATGAAGTGTGAAATAATATGCATCTTTAATGTATTTTTTCCTGTCAATGTTCTTCTGTTTTAAATATTTAGCATAGCCGTAATGGTTTGAAGAATTATGGGAGTACGTGTTACTTAAATGCATTTTTGCAGCTTTATTTTCGGTTCAAGGAACTTCGAAAAGCAATATATGATATCCCATCACAAGGTGGGTTATGTATTCATAAAGTTCTTTGCATTAGTAACCCCAGTGTTTTATACTGTCCACTTGTTTTGTTTGAAATATCTCAATAATTACTTAGGTCGAGTTTCAAGTTTCCCATTATTACTGACCGAGCTATTATAACCTTAGTCTACCTATGATTTGCTTAAATAAAACCGTTTATCCATATCTTTAGCTCCATACAAAAGGGAACCGTTTCCTATTGTAGATCCATTCATACTAGATGTATCTATATTTGGTTGTTTGGTCAAAATTAACTAGGAATTAGGAGATAAAGTAATAGTTTTCATCTGCATCGGGATATTTGATTCGTAGCTGATGACAATTTCAAGGTATAAAATTAATTATTTTGAACATATCAGCCGTAAATAATAAAAACACTTTTATACAATATCATTTACGCAGATTTTTAAAATTTAGAGATAGACATCAGTAGAAAAACTATGGAAAACCAGACTCTTTAAACAACAATAAACAAACCTTTCAATGCTTTTTTTATTTTCTATGGTCTTCTGGTCGATATCAATCGGTGATAAAAATAGACTGTCTTCGTGATTTATCCAGTACCAATTGACTTGTTTACTTGTTTATCCTATTTTACAGCTGATGAAACCGGTATAATACACCAGCTACAATTAATCTTCAGTCAACTTCAGTTAAACAATTCAGGGTAAATTTGTTTATTCAGATTACTTTGAAGCGATTTCTTTTTGTTTCAACATATATTTATTTAAATATATGTGTGTATGTATATCGACACAAAGTGTTTGTACATTCTATTTTTTAGATTCTGATATTTGTTACTGGTGGATTTTAAGTTGGAAAAATCCAGGGTGAAAACAGAAATATTTGATTCGGACGTTAAACATTTTATTATCATTATCACCTGGTTGCTTCGCTTCTACTCGATTTTATGGGACCGCATCATCTTTCTAGTTGGCGGTAATTATACATTGTGTGTCATATGTAGTTCAAAAATCGTAAATACACATCTAATAAATATAACAAATTCCGATTAGACTTTTATTCTTCAGCAATTAACTGTTCATTTAAAGGAACTGATGTGCAACTATGAGTTTACAAATGTATCTATAACCACTACTAATAGAATTGTTCAGAATGAGGTCAATGGCAGTTAAAGTGTTGGCAAATCATACTTCAATATTTCTCCTCTTTATTGTTTATATATGTAGTCGACATTGTTTCTTGTCTGAAACTGAACAACTCTTCATAAGCTATTAATTATTCAAACACTGAACTTTTCAACCTCAACTTCCTTTTTTTCAGACATTGTGGGCATTGTGTTATTCATTTTATTAGTGATTGACATTAATTACCACTCACTTTGTTTTTTTTCTTCATTTCTTAGTATTGTTGATCCAGGAGGTTTGATTGAAGCATTGCGGTTATGTGATACAGAGCAACAAGTAAGAAAATACATGTTTGCGGTATATACATGCTGATTTTAATCGCATAAGACATTGCTGACAATTCACAGTGTAATTTTCGTTCATGCAATAACGCAGTAATTTCTTATTTAAATTCTTCCAAAAAACGAATTTGCTTCATTTTTTAAAAATTGTTAATTTTTCAGGATGCTCCTGAGTTCCATTGTTTATTTATGAATTTATTGGAAGCACGTTTCCAGCAAGTTGGTGTATTTGTTATTGACGACTTGATTAGAGGAGAATATATTTATGAAAATAGGTGAGTGATACATCAGTACTTCACTGTTATGGCTTATTCCTCAATGACTTTACGCAGACTGAATCAGTATTAGTATTCGTAATAGTAGTAGCATCAGTGGTGGTAACACTAAGTTTATTACATTTTTTAACTCTCTTCATACACTGATAGTTGGGAAAATTATTGTAGAGCAGGAAGCATTGGAAGGTTGTTACTTCTCAGGCGCCCTTGAAGGAAGTCTATAACTCCCACAGTTGACCTGTACTATTTCGCCGTTGAGCTGTGATCCAAAATTTATCAGGTTCAGTCAATTTCTAATATAACTTGACTACCATCCAATGACATTGAAGAGTGACTACCTTGGTTGATACTTTGTCACAGTTTCCTCTTGAAACTTCATAAATATTTCATTTCGAAGCTATCGATGTTTAGTTGTTGATGCATATAATCGTCTTCGATTATGAAAAACCCTTTTATATTATTGTCAACCCTAGATAGCTTTCTTGTCATGTAGGTATTTTTTAATTCTTGGTTGTTTGAGACTAGAAGGTTTCACAGGCGGAAAGTAAGGAAAACTTTATCTATGACCGATTTTTCAGTTGTAATGTTTATCATGACTAAACGAAAATGGTTGTTTTTATTCGTGAAATAACTAAGCTGTCATTGACTTAATAAACTTCCTAAAGTTCATCTAACTAGCTATAATTGTTCCCTTCCTTAATCACAAAGATTTCTTTCCTTCTATATTCATTTCTTGATAGAAGTATATATATCTAATTACAAAATCATTCTTTTTTAGTAAAACTTTTCCCAGATTTTTTACAACTGAATTTTATTCGAAGTAGTAGATACTAAATAATTATGTCAAACTGTCAGTATTCATGTATATCGCTTCGTTGACAAAACGAAATCTATCTTATTGATGCCATACTTATCCTTTTTTAAAAAAACAAAAGGATTTCAAAGTTGATATCCTTCTCCTACTCAGTTGTGTGCATGCTTTTTTTCCTTATAATCCATCTGTCGTTTTACCCTTTTCTATTGCTTCAAATAACAAATATTTTCCTGATTACTGACCAAACTATCATGAAAGAAGTACACACTTAACAGATTGTCATTTCGTCTAACTACAATCTATTGTTTATATTCAAACACTTCAATTTTAATAATAATAGTTTACACTATTGATTTAAGCAGTAGAGAAGAGGATTAAAGAGTATCTGCACTGGCGGTCAGTTGTTCTGTCCATCATCGATCTGCGTAGTTGATATTCTTCTTTAAAAAGTGTTTAATTCCATGCATTCTTTATTTCTGTGCGAAATGTTCTCCACTGGGCGACTTTATTCAACGTCTCTTCCTGTTTTTCAAAGATCCTTCATTATTGGAAAATTTACTAATCAATAATTCGACAAACTACAGTCAGAACTGTGAAAGTATCGTATGATTTAATGTTATATGTATTACTTGAGATTACAATTATACTATGGAGACCGTTAAATCAGTATACAATCTTATGGTGACCCGATTCTATGGATTAATGGTGTACTTTTTCTTGGTGAAATGGTAAAGTATTGAGATGGCGGAAAAAAGTTGTCGCCTGGGTGGATGAATTTGTCAAAGTTTTCATTCTCTGTGCTATTTGGCTCATTTGTAAGGTAAACATTATGAGTCTGGTGTTAGCGTTGTGAAAGTAGAATAGTTACTGAATCGAAACAACTAAGTTGTTTAGTGTCTTTGAATTTATCAGAGTTATTGGTCGATTTTTTATTACCCATACAGTTATTGTTTAAGTCTCTGGTTAAAGATCTTAAACGGCATAAAGGAAACTCAATACTAATCCATTCTTATTTTTCATGAACTTCGGGAATCGCACCAATTTGTTTCTCTTCTTTCCTTTGTACTTAAAAACGCCTCATTCAGTTTATTTGAATACTATTCTACTATTAATATCTGCTGTAATTGCTACTGTTTTAGTAACGTACTGTCTTGATTCTTACTCAGTTTTGTATCGATTCATGTATGTGTAAAAGCATCAAAAATAATATTGGGGCTGTGGTAATTGAAAATAAAACCTATCGAACAACAATTTTGAAACACTATGTCTCATAAACGTTCAGAACCAAGTTCATTTCTAACCCAATATTTTACATTCAAAGTAATTTTCCGACAGGATTAAATATAGTCTAAATTATCATATGCCTTTGTGACTTCACCTGATATAAATTATCAGCACGTACGTTTATCCAGACACTCAAACCTTTTGAATATTTCCAGTTATTTGTGGCTGAAGCTGACTACAAACACAGGCTTTCACTTATCCTTTAACATTAATTTACAGTTCGAAGATGGTAATTGAATGTAAGGACATTATAGCAATGCCTGATGAAGTTTATATTTAATGAACATCAGGGTTGAATGGAATATAATTTTTAGATTATACGTCAACGTTTAACCTGAAAATTTTGGTTGTTAAGCTTTCTTTAGTTTAGATAATATCATCAATACCAATCTCTAATAGAAGCATGTTTAGGAAATTCTGCACAATTATCAAATCAATTTGCCTCAATAATATTATTTCTGATTGACTGACCTCAGAAGTTTTATTAATGTTCATGTGTGTCTGCATTCTCATCGTCTGTTTCTTTAGAACGGTCTTTTATCCTGTTCTTGATTAACCTTTACTGTATCTGTTATGACCTAGTTGGAGACTATTGAGTTTGAAATAATGATATAATGACGCACATAATTTTCAGCCGAACCTTGCACTACTGTCCAACTAAATCTCTGACCCAGCCCCTAAAAATTGAGAACAAAAATAAATCAGGCGTTTTATTACCACCCCGTCGACAATAATACAGTGAGAAATATGTAGGTATTCTTAGAAATTTAATGATGTTCTTGAAAACCAGCTCTTAGAGATACTACTTTCTATGCCCTGAGTTTAGCTATGTAAGGATGTTTTAAAAATTCGGGGTAGCGTCTTAAAAATATCCTTTTCAAGCTTGTTCGGGTCCAATTCTTGGGAAACGGTTTATTTCCAAATAGTTTGTTGATAGGTAGTTCAAGTCATCATACTGATTGATCGGAGATTAATTTGAAGTTATTCATTACATTCGACGTTCTTATCGTTTCTCTATCATTTTTGGTTTTACTATGCAAAATCTGTGATATCTTGCTGCCCAAACGTTTGTGCGTGGTTGTCAATACGGATAATGTTTCTTGGAGTTTGATTATTAATCTATGTTCACAAATGCGTAATTGGGAATACTGTCTGGTGTAATGCCTCTTTAATTGATGTTGAATTCGTTCTCTTTTGTTGTTACATCCTCTAGTCTACATAATGTAGACATCTTTTGACAAAGTTATTCTGCTGGTTACTTAGTTCTAAATTTCTAATGGCACTGAAGGATTTCCGACGGTCATTTTTGCTGCTTCTCAGATTATCACTGAATTATTGCTAATAATTTGAGATGGTGGAGAAGATTTGTAGCCAAGGTGAATGATTTTTATAGAGTTTTATTCTCTGATCTGGATGGTTTGGTCGTGGAACTTTCATCGTACTTCTGAACGACAGCATCAGCACAAACTTCAGGTAGAAGTGAAGTGTTCGAATTTTTGTACATGTGGTTCACAGCTTGTCCCGTAGACCTCGGTGTTGATTGTTTTTTGTTGACCTTAAACTTGTCATTGTTTACTCCTTTGTTTTGGTTGTATCTCCTATTGGTTTGATTTTTGTTCCTATGTTTGTCAATAACTTGTATTTTTTTAGGTTACCGAGAGTCTGTTTCATTCTTATAATTCTTGTCGTAGATATTTTCATGCTTGGTCGAATCTGTGTGTCATTTGGTGTCGTTTTGTATTGATCAGGTTTTCTCTGTTCTTAAAATGATCCTTGACACAAGCTTTTGCCAACTGAGCTTTGGAGCAATTTTCAATATAATCCTGCATCCAAGTTGTATGAAAACTTTTCAGTGATACAAGAAAATTTCAAAAATAAGTGAAGTGTAAACAAAATCGTTATCACCACTTAAGCTTCTATGGTTGTATTTAAGTAATGCAACTAATGATCAGTAAGTTTCTAACTTCGCCACCCCTGTTATTAATCTTTATATTATGTATTTAACGCTTCCAACTGATCTTTCCATAACGTCGTTTGTATGATATTTACTTTAGCCAATTAGATCTTTTCTCTCTATACTTATTTTTGCTTTTAGCTGTCTGAAATGCGGTTTCACATCTCGGTTACCCTCAAAGTTTTTAGAACTATCATTGAAAGTTTCTTCAAAGTCACTTCCAGATTGTATACGGGATTATTTAAAGGTGATGTTTATTTTATCTTAGCTACATATGTAAACACTTTAAGTTGGTAGTGATTAAATGCATGGGTCAAGTAAAATCATCATCTGATTGCTTATTAAGATTCCTTTGTATAAAAAGCATAAATTTCATTCTTTCGAAAGTATACCCTATTGATGTCTTTTGTTAGGAATCTATCATATTCCATGTACTCTACAAGGTTGCTAGCATATATCTGGATTGCTCTTTATTATATCTTGTTATTAGTTCAGTAAAAATGTATCGAAATAAGACAATAGTTCAGCCGTATCGTTCTAATTTGTGACTCCTCAGCAATGCGGATCCAAGAACTTCCAGCTTTGCGGATAACGCATTCCACTATGTTCCATTCCCCCTGTTATTCGGAGAAACGAGAGATGATTACCATGGAATTCGTACGTCAAGTGTATTCAGCGATGAAAAGAGGTACGATGAGGCAAGACTGATCATAGACATATGTGGTTGAATATAATTACATTCTGATGGATGTTTAAAGACTTTTTATACATATTTTTTAATATTCACAAATTTAATGCTTATAAAACGGGAATTTGGTTGCAATTTTGCATATTTTCTGCTGAAAATCCTTTTGTGTATTTAGACTTATGATATTGAACAAACCAAATATTGTTGTTATTGTGTAACTTGAAGATATTCACGGTTTTCATCTGAATATGTCCTTTTTAAAGAAGTCCTACTTTGGTTTAGATGAGGATTTCAAATAACGAATGAAATCGGTTTTTATCATTGATTAATATTGAGGCTTTCCACTTAGATTACCTCAAAAAGCTCTTTAACTTGATAAGTTACCGAATCCACCATGAATGGTTATAAACTTTTAAAAAGTGATGGCCTTCTATGAGTATGTGCATATTTTCTCGTGGACGAATGAATGTTCATGTAAAGTTAGTCTCTCCTCGATTGCCTATTTTCTGATCTCATTGTTTTAATTTATTAGCTCATCGTTGGCTGTTTTTCCGTCTACTGAATTCATCATATTTATTGTTTTTTATAGGAAGAACAATTAGTTGGCGATAATCAGTATGCTTGTTCACAGTGTGGTTGTAAACGAGATGGTGTTAGAAGAGCCTATATAACACGTGCTCCACCATTGTTATGCATTCAGTTGCTTAGATTCACCTACGATTCAAACACTGGTCAACGTAAAAAGTATAAAGCTTCTATTCGTCTACCTGATCTTCTTGAGTTGACAAAAGTTGTTGAAAATTCAAAAAGTAATAAACATCTGAATTGTGAACATTCTGTGGAATGTTTGAGTGTAGATTCAGGTATTATTTATTGTCGTTTTATAAAAGTTATATATATATATATATATATATATATATATATATATATATATATATATATATATATATATATATATATATATATACTAAAATAACATACTTTTTATTTATTAAACCAATTTTTGTATTATAAAGGAATTTAAATATAAAATAATACGACTTTATGTGTCTGTGTCAGAAGCGTTCGATCAAATCCTTGCAATATTAATAACCAAGTTAAAAATATGGATATGACTCATATAGAGCGGTGGCTTAGTTCGTTAAGTTTCTTGGCTTTGAACCAGTACATCACCAGTTCGAACCCCGCTCCACGTTTTTCGGTTTAGGTTGGCTGTCATATACAAACAATGTATTTGACAAACCAGTCGTTACCATTAATTTCTAGTATACAGGAAAAATACATGTAGATAATTTATCATCATTATCAACTCATCAACCAGGTACTTGACTTTGAACTACACTGTAGGTTTGAGAGCTGGTGATACTATTCGGTTTTCTAAACCAAATTGAACCTGCTGCTTAGTAGCTTAAAATCAAACCATAATGTTTAATGCCATGTGAGATACAGTAGATGGTGATGCCAATCCGTCAAACCTGTAATTTCCATCTTATTTCTCTATTCTTATCATACTCATCAAGTTAGTACAATAGAATTTTAGCAACAAAATATAAATGGAAGCGCCAAATTGCCATTGTGGTAGATTTTGTTAACATTTTATTGTGCACCTGCACAATACCTGTTTTCACAAATTTTATACTACTTAGAACATGTTTATTTTATTAGTTTTCTTAGAAATCTATCAAATAATAAAATTTTGTTAAATTACTTAACTAAAATTGTAATAAATAATTTAATGATCAAATCACTGAGTTTTGAAACAATAGAGTAACAAGTTCTGACCAGGTTAATCTTAATTTGATGTCAATGGTTAGACATTATTGTCCCTAGTTCTCACATCGTAGAAAACCTATGACTCAATATCAAGTACATAAATCTGTACTTCGTAAATGGATTACTTTTCATAAATTAAATATCACGTAATTTTAACAATGCTTGGTCCGTTTTCAATGTACCTATTCATTTTTCGTTTCACTTATATTGGTCTTGTCACCCCTTGTGGGTTGATGTCTAACGAAATCTCGGCACGAATCCTGGCTTTTCCCAAGCTGCATCATTTGTAGCGTAGGTGAAATGTTCATCTACCAATCAAAGGATGATTTTAATGTTCAACGGTCCGCTCTGTTCTACTTTATAGGCGTGGAGCATGACCATTAAGAATGGATACTCTTAAGTTACTTATATTCTTTCATAAATATCTCCAAACCATCACTCGTGTATTTTGGGACAACTGAGTGAGCAGTGGTGTGCTAGACATCGGCACTAAGTAAATACGAGAAATTGGTTGATGAAGTTGGGAATCTTCATCGACCGAGATGGTCGTGTTGTGTGGTACATATCCCCAGCCATCATTTACCTCAATGGCACTGATGCATTAGCTCTGTTTCTTCCTTTCACTCTTGGGCCTCGAAACTCTGTACTTTTTCCCCTCCTATACCTAATCGTTTCTATTACTACTGGTACTGTTACTACTTCTACTTTGGTATTTGCCTTGTTAAGTTCAGCCTTTTTCTGCTAATGCGGTGTGAGAACTTGATTCAAGGCACATATATAAGTCAAGTTCTATATTGCATGTGACCGAGTGTAATATTGAGTTTGCTGCTAATAAACTACCATTTAGATAGTAATTTTATATTTATTTCAGATCCATGTCATCGCGCATATCGTCTCTGTGGTGTACTTTTACATATTGGCAACCAACCAACATCAGGACATTATATAGCTGTTCTTAGAGATTCTTACAAAAGAATCAATTTATCTGGTGATAAAAACACAGAATCAAGTACTGAAGATGATCCTCCTTTAAAATCAAATGAATGTTGGAGTGTTTGCAATGATATAGATGTAAGTGTTGTGAACAAGAACACAGGTGGGAACGACTGGTTTATATTTTACACAAAATTATTGAGTTCTTTGGTAAATTGTGGAAAACGTACATTAAATACTTCATTTTCAAATTTCTATCTTTTGTCCTTTACATTCTGTACGATTCTTTCAATTCGCAATTCACTTCTATATCCGTATTTGTTCTCTTCAACTTGATATGCTTAGTCTTCTGCTGCCAGGTTTTCCACTTCCTATTGGTGTTACGTACTACTTATATCGACAGACATGGTTATTCACCTTTTTTTCTTATTTCAATTTAAATCACTTAGTATCTTAACTGGATTCCATATTAATCTGACACATTTAATGCACTTGTTTAACAGTCTAAATAAGCGCTCAGCAAACGAACTCAGTATTTAGGTGCAGTTCCCATTTATTCAGCATAAGGGTGCGATTTTTGTTTTCAGGTTAGATAATACGATTTCGGGTTTAATAATATGTCTCAATTATTGGAACTCATATGTTTCAACCGTCAAATCATTCACTCTGTGCACTCGTTATGTATTTAAATAAGCTTTTCCCAAATTATACACCAATTTCTACTTCATTTTCAATTCTCTCATATAATGAACACATAACGTATGTTTTTTTTTTTCAAGGTCTTCAACGTACCGTCAAGTCAATTTAAATTAGCAAAAATTAACGGATCAGCTAAATCATTGCAAAGCTATCTAGCCACTACTGAAACATTGGATTCATCAATAAACCTTACTAAATCTGATCAATCTTCTGAAAAGTGTTCTAGTCGTAGAGCAGCCAAAAAACCTCGTCATGATACTTCCTCAAATGATCTTAGTTTCACTGACCTTAATGAAAGTAGAGATTCTACAACTTCTAAGTGTATGTCACAGGACGATTTATGGCATAGTTCAACTAATGCGTATATGGTATTTTATGAATCGGTGGATAATTGTAATATGGATGAAGGTAGTATAATTCGTATATTCTTTCGTATAACAATTGATGGTTACTATGTGAATTCTTTTTATAGTTTCTATGTACATCATAGATTCAACTGCATCACTAACTGACATTAGTAAAACAGCCATTAAAAGTCAAATAACTTTAGATAGCTGTTCCTGTCCTAGTGTGAGACTCAGCAGTATATACCCAAAACTTAAATGGGGGTCGAACCCAGGACATACAAGCCTCCTGCCGGGTGGGCCCTTACCTTATAATGACAGAATCAACATCTACTTGTTTATATTTTGAATCTTATTTTATTTGTAGTATTTCACAATCATCTCTCAATTTCATTCATTGCTAATTAACTGCCACACACCTGAAATAGTTGAACTCCACCGGTCATGGATTCTCACAAGAACCTCGGGGAATCGTCTCTTGAAATTAGTCATTGGTGAGCACATAATTGAATCAAATATCACAAATATAAAATAATGTATATTTACAGAAGAAGTATTCGGAAAGTAAAAGAATGATGGCAGTAGTTATCGAAATATAAGAGTGATTCACTCTCTACGAATAATTCTGTATCTCATATATTTGAGTTTACATGATTGTTAGTAATACCGTTCTGTTTTATTCATAGCCATTTTAAACTGTTTTCAAATATATAGATTACTTATGTTCGAATAAGCCGACTGTTCTTTAGCATATTTTCTGCACAAAAGTAAGCATAACACTTTAAACATAAGTATCTTCGTAGTTACGTATCGTTTAAGCTGGGTGTTGTTACGCTTTTCAAAGTCAGTTTAATTGTCTGTTAAAAGTCACACATTGTTAAGATGTCACATTATTTGCATAACAAGTGCCATTCGTGACTTGAGGAAATTACGAACTATACAAATTTAAACTATGGTTTGTCATATGAAATTGATGTATTAACGTTAAGATTGTTCGTTATACTCAAAAAATTATTGTGACACAGTTTCGCTTCATGGGCAATCTTATCAACTTATAAACGAACTTAACGACCTATCAACTATAAATGTTGAAGTTTCAGTTATTTCCGTGTTTGCTACATTTAGCTCCTTTTACTATTTTAGGTATGTATCAAAATAGACTAGTAGTTTTCAATACATATCATTATTTCCTACGTTATGAATAGTGCTTCGTAAACAAAACTTCGCTTTACAACTTATCACTCAATTTCTTTTTGTTCATCTAAGATTTATCAAGGTGACGTGCATGTTAGCACGTTGTATTAAGTATAGCATACATAATTGGAGAACGTATACTCAGGTGATTCCATATGGTAGTCACTAATTCTACCTTTAACCACAATGCAAGTCATATCCCTCAGGAGCGGTTGACTTTCAGTCACTATGAAGTGGGTTTCAACCGCGCTCTACCTACTCCGGTTTCAGTAACTGATTAGTTTCACTCTAGCCCTCACATTTAGAATGTGACTCAAAGCCGAGTACAGTAATCTGTGCCTGGCAAATGAATATTTTTTTAAAAGAAATATCTTTCAAGAACTAAAAAAATGTAACCATCAGACTACTTGGTGTTTACTAAGAAAGTATGTTTCACAAAAGTGTCCTTATTGCACTTAAAAGATAATTTTACATAAATAACATAACACTTTACCATTAAAATATTTTACAAGTTATTTTGAATTTTTATTAATGTATAAATTAAAATTAGTTTATATTTGACTAATTTCATAGTTATTTGTATATTTGCATTTTTCTTTCCTTATAGATATTACAGTTCCTAGTGACTTACGCAAAACAATTGAAGAAGTAAATTTGACAGAACAACAAAAGCTTCTATCTAAACAACAAAATAAAGTATGTTATTTCAAAATTTTTCCCTGGCTATACATGTCAGTTGATAAATTTATAATTCTTATTAAAAAATTCAAAACACTAAATTCATGACTAAATAGGATGTAATGTATTAATCTTAATCTTAATTTCTTTATACCTAATGAACTGATCAATTTGAATAAGTGAAGATTATTGTTTAAAGTACCAAACATTTCAAATAAATATTAATTTAATTATCATTTAAACTTCAGTCTAGTTTTCTTATTTGCCTTGGAATGCATAGCTATTCCGTGCTATTTTGAAACTTCACATAAATATGCTTTTGTGTTCATATAAATAGTAGAACCTAGTATATGTATTTTACAAGAAAATAGTGACTATCATTAATTGTGTGTTACTTTTAAAGATTTCAGAATCAATGGACTTATTAAGTAGCACTGTCATTTCATTAACTGCTTGATTATCGATATCGACTTCGATTCATTTAATACATTTGTAATTTCATGCTTCACATATTGAAGTAAATATGTGGTTTTGCGAGTTATTTTTAACAGTTGTGATAAGCTTTCCTACTCTGCAAAGCAATATTTATAGGATATGTATTAAATTAATAACAGGTTGGTGTTTATTTGTCTTTCCAGAGAAATGCACAAACCCCTAGAATTATTTGTAACGATTGCCATTTTACAAAGATTATGCTCAGTATTCCTCAATTATCTACATAACGACAGTTTTTTTCTTGTGACAGGTAAATCGTAAAAATCAATTACTTGAAATATTGTCCAACCTGAGATTACCTGATCCTATCAATTCATCACCAAATAATAGTACTTCAATATCAATAAATCCTCTCGATAATGTATCTTTGGTATCAACATCTTGGTTATGTGATTGCCTTAATAATCCGTTGTTATTGGGAGATGCCTGTTTAACTGATGCTCAGATAAAATCGCTTTCAAAACTCAAAGACTACATATTTCCCTCTTCTTCATCAAATCAATCATCTTATACCTTACGTACCTGTTCACATGGCCATGCTCCCACAGATCTTGTTGCAGGTTCATACAGAGCTGTTTCTAGTGAAGGTCTTAAAAAGCTTATTGAGATTCTCTTCCCAAAATCATTTGATGCCATTCAATCTGAAGATGATAGGTACACAGTTTTGTTTTATAACGATATCATCTTTATTATTATTGTTATTCATAGTGTACAAGTAATCTTTTGTTTTGTTAAGAACTCATTATTTTCAGTAAGGGGAATTGTGGGGATTGTAGTATTTTTAGCAGCTAGATTCACGAGTCGATCTAAGCTAGACCACCATCAGAAAACTGGAAGAACTGGACGGCCGTTCCGTCCTAGTATGAGACGATCATGATCCCGCGCACGGGACGCAAAACCTAGACTTGTGTTCTCGCGTGTGGACGCTCAAGCTCTAGGTTGTGTCGTGCTTTCAGACTATAGTGATCATTATTTTGTAGCCTATTAAAATCTTAAAGTATTCGTTCATTTTAATTGACAGGTTACGAATAGAAAAGCATCCTTATAACATGATACAACTTACAATATCTTTTCTAGAATACTTCTTTTTTATGAAAATCTATTTTCCTTATATAAATCTATTATCATCTAATAATTGTTTTCAAGGTTTAGTCGATTTCAACCATGTCGAAAGTGTATTACACTAAATATCGCATTATTAAAAGTTGAAAATGCAATTAAAGAATTATCTAAAGAATTGGACTATTTTATAAAAACTAATCATTTGTCTTCCTCATATTATAAACGTCTTCAAAGTGAAAAGGTAAATATCTATATTTTTTAAATTACTGAAATATATAATTCTTTCCATGCATTCTTGAATGATTTTTATCTACTGTTTGGTTGATGAACGTTTCGCTAGTATATTTTAGTAAACTTCTTATTGGCATATTCTTTTAGCTAGTTACCTAGTCAAATCTTAGTTCAGTAACTACGGTAATCAGTATAATTTTCACTTTATTTATCAATAATTACTTTACATGGGACGTTCAAATGCAATAATTTGTCTTTCTTGCTGTTCATTAGACTCAGTTTAAAGTTATAATTGCATGTTTCGCCTTTTTGCATTCTTTTGAATATAATAAATTAGGTTTGATCGCTGAACATTAAATATAATATTAAGTCATAGTTTAGCATACTTAATCACCGGTATTTCAAGCTTATCATATTCCTTGGGATTTAATTCATTTTAATAGTGACAGATTAGAAACGCGATACAACTACACTCCTTTTCCGACTATGCACCAGATCTCTTGTACTATTAGACGTGTATGGGAAGTTGTCACTTTCCAGCTGCTCACACTGTGGAAGTATACTTTTCGGGGTACCTTGAAAGGAAAGGAAATTAGTAGTGATCTTGGCGACTTGTATGAACACAGATCCAAATATATTACTACTATGTTTTGTGTTCATTCAAAGTGTATGAACTTCGATTTATGTTACTCCACATAGGGGAGTTGGAAAACCCTGGTTTTTAGCCAATGGGGCACATGGGCTCCAGGATCCTTAGGGAACAAATGGTATATGAACCAATTATTGGTCACTGGATGCCATGGGACTGCATCTGATGACGTTGCTCTACTGCCTTGTAGACCAGACCTTTGGGTCGAATGTTCCGTGTGTGGCCCCTAAGGAAACAACTTGCTTCGGTCTGGGCACCGGGGCAGTATCACAGCCCACATACAATTCAAGTGACTTGTGTGGTACATATGTATTCGGTGCCCCTTTGTCTCAATATTTATGTTCAAATAAATAAATAGAATTGAAAGTTTCAACTTCTTATCTCACCTACTTTTGATTTAAGCAGTCAGATGGTATCACTGGCTATCTGTGAGACCTTAGCCTGTACTTCATTTAATTGCTTTGGATTTCCAAAAATACATTGTCAAAATCGTTTATTCCTATCATCTCTGATTTTTAAGTTTATGCTAATATATTCCTTTAAATTTTTAAAGACAGACTCAATTCCTTTGAATCCTGAACCTGGATATTATTTAATTGGTAAGAGATCTCTTCGTCAATGGAAAACACTTGCACGTCATTTCACACGAGCTTTTTACTCTGATTATGATGATGATTCTAAGTCACGAACAACTGGCCATCATACACAAACAACATTTAATCATGATATTCTTTGTCCTCACGGTCAAATTTGTACAGAAAATACACGTCATTTACCAGCCGTACTTTGGCATAAATTAGTCGATTTATTTCCTGGTGTAAAGATTCCTACATTTCCTATTTATATTCCTTATGACAATAACAATAATACATCTATCAATTCCATTAGTATATTCAATAAATCAGAGTCATCTTGTTCTGAATGTAACGCAGTACAAAATGACCTGACAAAACGAGCATTATGTGAACGTCAAATGCTTCCTGGTTTATTCTTATCAAATGTTCAACGTATGCGACTTTTACACTCTGCCACTCAAACAGTAAATACAGCTGTAAATATAAAAGAAGAAACTTTAAGCGAATGCAAATTTAACTTTGAATGGTAATTTGCATTTTTTTTTAATTGATAAAATAAATTATTATTTCTCATGATAATAATGATTTTACTTCACTTACCTATAATTTTAGTTTAGTTCTTTGTTGTGCGTAAGTATCAGTGGATTTTTTCTTTTAAAATTTTGTAAATGAAGTACATTCTTCTTCCAGGTAAATCGTCTCACTTTTAAGTTCAGATTTAATCAATCAATAATAGCGACTACCTCTAACTACTTAAATATTAACCTTAACGTTTGTCATTGGTATAACCTTTTCTAATACATTTTTAGTTACTAATGTCGCTTATTTATTTATTTGTTTGTAGGGTCAATAATTCTAAGTCAGAAAATTTAAACGGTCATTTTACAGATACCGATAAGAAATTAAATAATTTAAATACCAATGCTCTTTACTTGATTCCAATGGGTTTCATTATACAATGGAGAAAATTTATTCGAAATCCAACAGCAGATAATTTACCTAGTTCGCTATTATCTGGCTTTAGCTCAGATGGCGTGCTTTGTGAACATGGTCAAGTAATGAATTAATTTTCACAACTCTGTATTATTTAATTTTGTTTAAATGAAATGAAAACTGTTTAAGTGATTATAATAAGCATAACCATGTACACCTTTTCACATGCTATTATTATTATTATTATCAACTGTTATTATTATTATTAATTATTAAGCAAACAGGTCGACATGAAATGGGATCATCTTGGATAAGTAATCTATTTTGTATATTGTCTACTGAAAATCGACGAATGAATGGTTAAAACATTCTGAATTGTTGAATCCTAGGTCAAAGCAGTATTCACGTAATTCGATTTTAAGCAATCTGTTGGTACATTTATCCTTCACAAGTAAAGCTCGTATGCATAATATGCGTTAGTAGTATTGATTTCTAGAATCCCAACTAAATCTGCTTGTTATTCGATATTTGCATAAAGAGTCAAATATTAGAAAATAATATGATTAATTGTTGCATATATTTCAAGAATGGCTACCCACGGACACAGTTGCAGGAAAGAAGAAAGCAGTCATTTAGTCAGTTCAAATGTTTCAATTTGGACTGAAATTTTCAGTAGTGATGAGCTCTTAACTAAGCTATTTTAATAATGTTGTTAGCTTGCCCAGTGGTTTATGAAATGGAAATTTCCAATTAAAATGATCTGTACATGGCAACACATAAAGTTTTTAAAATGAAGTATTTAAGGTAAAAGTGGCACGAGCATCTAAATCTTTCGTTGTTCATGGGAAAGGATGGTGTATTTATTTCGTTACCAAAAGATTTGGGAAGATCGTTGCAATATCAGCTTGGAAAGTCTTCCGTCCTTGTTTTACTGCTACCGTTTCTCTTCTTATCGGTCTTTTAAATAATCGAATAAATTATTGATTAACTGCACATTTAGTCAGAACTTATGAAATAGATAACTCCAAACTTACCATAACGTACGTACATTAATTTGTCAGCTGACAAGCATGTCTCTAGATTCAGACAGATACTTCAACGTTTTATACATAACTCTCTTCCTCTCTTATCAATCAACTATACAAAGTGCCATGTACAAATTATTTTGTTGTTCACTAGGTATATTGTATATCATAATACGAATACACATACAGACCTAAGTACATAGCTCTGGACAAAATTTATCGCAAACTATCTCCAGAAATTTCATACGTAGCCTAACCAGCCACTACTTCACTTCGTACCTGCGAGAATACTATCAGATGTTTCAGACGTAATAAGCTTCCCCGTTACTCTTCTACAAGTTCACTTGCCGCCATCTACTTTGACACTAGTGTAGGATTCGTTTTAAAAAGGCTAACATAACCCAAACCGAGATGTAACACTAGTCCATTTAATTACTACCTGTCTATCTAAACCATGTTGGTAGATGTGAATTTACCTGCTTGGTGATCAGTTGTTGGAGAACTCCGATGAAATCGTTCTAAGCCAGTCATAATAGCGCAGATAGATTCATTCTTTATCCTTCTCTAGAACTTTGGATTCAGTATTATTATATATTTTTATTTCGTCCCTTGTCTAACCATATTCTCAATGTTTGCTGTTTCTCACTGCTATTCACTCATTTATTTATTGTTTTGGGGTGATTTAATGGAGCAATATGGGTTTACACGTTCTTACACTGGGTACTACGTTGTTTATGACTAACGATACAGAGACTTTTATCACTACCCTTGTGTGAAGAATTACACTGGTTACGCATCGAGTACCTACTTCACTAGCACACATTTAATCAAAAGTTAAAGAATAACATCACTAATGTTATCTGTTATATTCTGCGAATATAACACGTGATGAGGTCGCCAATTAGACACCGTCTTATACGACCAACCCAATGATGCACAAACCAGTATGAGCAGCCTAAAGTTCCTATTGGTCCTCTGAGATAGTAGCTTCTCTCCCAACCCAGCCGGTTCAAACCAGGACGCCGATATCAGCCTCCGCTATACGAATCATATATCAAACATACTGGGTTTATATCGAAACAAACCAAACCGCGTCATACCATAGAACAGAAAATAACAATCATAAAAGATCAAACCAAAAAGTGACTGTGACAGACTGTTACTAATAAATGAAAAATGAATAGTAAATCGTATAATAATAGTCAATAGTTCAATTAAAATCCATAATAAAAGGAATATGAATATACATATGATATGGTTACTTAATAGTTATACAAAAGAATATATATAACAGTAATTCATAAATAGATCCTAGCCGTTACCATTCACTTATTCCTTGTCCGGATATAACAGTATCATTAATAGGTTTCTCAACCAAAAGGGTACAAATTCCTTTAGTCCTCCAGTTACCTCTGTTCTGTAATCAGTTAAATTCACCATCCTACAGAAATAAGATCAATATAAAATCCTCATATACAATTGTACCCATTTCTATTGAAATATATATATCGTTTTTTGCTCCGCTTCATAGTTTAATTTAATCGTTATCATTTGAAGCAAACGTTTTTATATTTATATATATATTACTGCATTTTTTCGCCAATTCATTTCTAACATTTGTTTTCTTGTTTTTACTAATTAATTTCAGATGCTAAAAACATGGCAAGCTCTTATAAATGAGTCAATATTGTGTCCCTTAACTTTTTATGAATGGGATGTTTTGTCTCACGCATATCCCCATCGTTTTAAAGAAAACGAAATACCTTTGGATCATGATGGACCGGAAACAAAAATAACTTTCTATCCACCGATGTATTTACTTCCACAGAATGATTCTGAACTGAAGTGGAGATTGGAACCATCATCCTATGGCAGTTTATGCCCAAATTGTCAATCTAAGATAATCAGTGATCAGATTTTTAATAATGCTAGAATCCGTATACGTCTGGTATCTGGATTCGATGAAGCATTGAGTAGTTGCGTCCAGTCAAAACTCACCTCTGTTCAGGAATCCTTGAATTGTGTGCTACAGGATTTGCAAACTGACACGGGAATTTGTGCTCAACCAACAAATGACATCATAATTCCGAACAATTCTGATCAGGTTGGTGCAACACAGACACGGGTTTTGACAGTCGATCCAAAATTAGTATTTGCACCGTATGTCAGACTTTCAAGCACAATACTCGAATGCTTTATGGTAGGTATGCGGCATGGGGATAAGGGGCTGTAAAATTTTACTTTACAAAAAGGAACCCCATGTTTTGTCAACATTAGTGTCGTAAATCTTAAGGAAGCAAACTTCAGCGTGGTTAGTTTACGTGTTCTCCACGCCAACTAACCATTAATATCGTGTTTAATAAGTCTCCGTATGAGCTATTACAAGCAAACTGCGTTGCTTTGGCAATAATCGTGTTGGTTTATAACTTATTAATTTATAATTTTAGGGTTTTCCTAAGTAAACTTGTGAATATTTTGTGTCATATGTAATTCAGTGCCCAATTATGATTTTTTTTTCGACTAAAGTCATCCACTATAAGTGATACCTTGTTTGATAACATCTGTTTTCTTTAATGTTTATAATACTATTCTGGTTATAAGTGAAACTTTCTTAAAATACCCTAAATATTCTAATTCTTGAAAAGGAAAATCAAAATATACATTAACAATAAATTTAACAGCTTCCATCTTTTTTTTACTTTTCAATTGTTTTAACTCAATGAGATGAATTTTATTTATGATATATCACCACAGTTTGTTTCAAACAATCGAACCACACATTAACTTGTAAAAAAATTAATTAATTGACTGATTTACCAGATAACTGAGTATAAGCCATACTGTAAGTGTTGGGATCAATAATACTACTTGATTGCCCTAACCGAAGTAGGAAATGCGGGATTCGAACCTGGGACTTAAGGTTTGAAAATCATACGCTATAATTACCAATCCATCGCTCCATGCCATTCTGAATAACAAAACAATACTACAATGGTAGGTTGGCGTGAATATATTTGCCTTTGAACATTGAGGGGAGTTTGGAATTTTTATATGTCCTTTACAAGTCAATATGTGATCGAATTGTTTGAAATACATTACTTTAATACACTAAATTGTTCTGGTAAACTTCATCTCTTCATTGGTTATTATCTAGATTTATCAAAGAAACAAATTTCCAAATTCATGTAACATTATGAGTTTCTCTTGTACTTCTTATCGTGTTCTTTTTTGCAAATTCTTTTTCTTTATTTAGGAAATGGATAATTTGAGAGAAATAAAAGATTATTTCAATAAACGATGTAATAATATAGAATTATCCAATTCTGTTAGCAAAGATATCACTCCACGTCTTTCATCAGATAATGAAACTAGTCTAATAGACCAATTACCTCTATCATCTAATCATCATCAGCATCAACATGTGCTCTATGATAATACAAATAGTCAATTATCTAATCATCATTTAGAATCTTCATCTACAAATTATATTAGACGCTCTTCACGTCAACGTTTTAATCCTAAAGATTTATTGATCAAAGTGAATAGTAGTGATACTCTTCTTGATGTGAAAGTACAAATTATGCAAAATTTAGGTGTTATCCCTTCCGATCAACATATTATGTCAAATGTAAGATTATAATTATTATTTTGTAAATTATTTTATCACAATTGAAATCATGTTTCCAAAGTGTTTTTTTTTGTAGAGGGGAAAATGCCATAATATGATTTATTCTTGTTCATTTAGAATACTTATTCATTCACGATGCTCCACTGCCTTGTGGGTCAGACCTCCAGGTAAAATGCTCGAGGTGTGTTCCCCTAAGAAAAGCCCCTGCTTCGGTCTGGGCACCCGGGCAGTATCACAGCCCACACACAAATAAAATGACGAGATTTACTGAAATCCTATTCACGCTTCGATTAACAGTCAAACAGTTCACATTATTATTATTTACCACGTCACTTATCCACTCTCTTTTATTCCCACTTTGTGTATCCTTATTTTTCGACTTATATAATGGAAACTCGGTTCTATCTAAACGTTCTCGAGTCACTGCCTGGTTAAAAATTGTACGTTACCACTGAATATGAGTACTGAAGCAGTTTTTCTGAAACCACGTGCGCCATTCAAACTGGCTACCTTCAACGTTCGCACACTAGTGCAGGTTGGTCAACAGGTAGGGCTGGCTATGTCTTGGAAAGTCTTCATATCGATGTCTGCTGTCTATCCGAGACCCGTATTCAAGACTCTGGTGATGTACTACAAATTCGCTCTCCATCGGTCGCTTCAAAAAGCTTGTTTTACGTGCGTTTATCCGTGGACTCTGAGGCATCTTCGTTTGGTCTTGCTGGTGTTGGTGTCGCACCAAGCGCTAGAGCTGAGGCAGCACTAATCTATTGGATCCCCATTAATAGTCGGTTATGTGCTATTCGATTAGAAAGTTCCATCAAAGTGAAAAGAAATCGGCGTGAGAAACGATGTCTTTTCGTCATCTCCGTCTATGCCCCAACAAATTGCAGCCCGGATGCAATCAAGGATGAGTTTTACCACCAGTTATCTGTTCTTCTGCAGAAAGTGCGTTCGACAGATATTGTATTACTAGACAGAGACTTGAATGCTCAGGTCGGGTGTCTAGGCACAGAAGAGAGTCGTTTATGTGGCCGATGGGGACTTGTTGATCGCAGGACAGATAATGGGGACCGTCTACTGCAACTATGCACAGACCACAACCTGTTTCTGGCTAGCACTAACTTTCGGCACAGTCATCGCCGATGTGCCACCTGACGTCCTTCCTCTGCATCTCAAGCCTGGACTCAGGTTGATCACATCGCGATCAGCTACCGCTGGCGTGGTTGTTTTAAAGACTGTCGCTCCTTTTAGAGTGCCTATCTGGACTCTGACCATGCTTTGGTCTGCGCCAATCTTACCTCACTTTTCAGTTGACAACGAAGTGACCGCCACCAACGGATTGGTGTTAGCAAGCTTGTTGCAATTTCTCTTGGAAGTAAGTATCGAACCGAGCTAGTTTCTAGGCTAGCTACCATTCCACCGAAAAGTATAGATGAGCATTGGTTGCAATTGCCTGACGCCATGAAAATGGCGGGTACAGTCAGTTGTGGGTTCGCGAAACGTCCCGCTTGTAAGCACTGGGTTTCTTCAGGCTCCTTACAACTTATTGAAGCTCGTCGGTCTACTCCGGGTGACCGTGAGTTTGACCACAAACGAAGGTTGTTATGTAGCGAAATTGGGCAGAGCTTGCGTAAGGACTGAGAACTCTAGTGGTCGGAGCGTGCTAATGAGCTGGAAGCAGCATCTGCATCTGGTAGTTACCGGAAGCTCTTCCAATTCATCCGATCCACTGGCAGCAAGAAGTCTGGTGTGAGCGAAACAATCTGCGAGGATGACGGGACGCCAGTCACCAACATCCATCGACGTCTTGGACGATGGGCAGAATTCTTCGAAGGGCAGTTCAACTGGGTTACTATCTAGGTGGGGGTGTATAGCCTTAAAACAGTCAATGATAGGCGACGACTAATGTGCATCTACCCAAGTTCTCACATTACATCAAAACAGTTGAATACGATTATCACTTCAATGGACAGAGGAATGAATTCGCGAAATAAAACATGTAAGACAATTTTAAAACTCAGAATCCAAAGAAAGAAATTGCACTTGTTCCATTGATGCCAATTCCAATTCACGTCACTCAGCATATCTACCCAGCCAGGTAATTTTTATTTATCTACCCTTCCAACAGTCAGTAACTTCACGGACTAACGTTACTTCTTAGTTTCCGTGACTGTAGTTTTTTTCCAACCCACTCCTACGCTAGTCGACATCGAGATACATAGTAATTATGCTTGGGTAAAACATGTCACAACCCTCTTATTCTGTGAAGATCCTCAATCTCGCCAACCGTAGTGTTTCTTGACATTAGGGCTGCCTTCAATTCGTTGAAAAGGACTGTTCTCTGGGATTGTCTATTGAAGAAAGGTGTGCCTGATAAGTTTACTAACGTCCTAAAGGCCTTATATATAAACACCTCAGACAGAGTGAGGGCATACAACCACCTCTCTCCATTGTTCCATTCGAGTAGTGTGGTTAGATAGGGTTGCTCAATCTCACCATTCCTCTTCAACTTTGCCATCGATGACATTCTGAAAACAGTTCTGATAGATATAGGTAATGTCGGTGTGGATCTGTTGCCTGGAGAAATACTTCTCGACCTTGAGTATGCAGATGATATTGTCTTGCTGTGCGATAACGCCCAAGCTATGCAATCCGCATTTAATCAGTAGGCAATCAATGTCCGTAAGTATGGTATCTGCTTTGCACCTTCGAAGTGCAAAGTACTTCTACAAGACTGGCAGGATTCTAATCCTGTACTCACCCTGGATGGTGAACAGATAGACGTAATCGAAAAGCTGCATAAGTGCTGGTGGTGGCGTGAGTGATGAGATCAATGCACGTATAGTGAAAGTCAGAGCGGCTTACACCAGTCTGGGCCATCTTGGGCGCCTTTGTGATGTTAGTCTGGCTGTAAAAGGTCGGATCTACAACGCGTCGGTGAGAGCAGTTTTGCTCTATGCTTGTGAAACCTGGCCCCTCTGAGTTGAGGATGTTAGACAACTCTCTGTGTTCGATCATCGTTGTCTCCGAAGGATTGCTGATATCCAGTGGCAACACCATGTTAGTAATGCAGAGGTTCGGCATCGTGTGCTCATGCACAGAGATGTTAATGCGATCAGTGTCACCGTCTTGAAACACCGACTTCGGTGGCTTAGACATGTTTTACGAATGTTGTCCCAGAGAATTCCACGTCGTGCATTGTTTGCCGACGCTGGGACTGGTTGGAAAAAGCGGAGAGGTGGTCAGTGTATGACATGGTGTCGTGGTATTTAAGAAAGCTGCGAAGGGCTGGCTTGTGTTGGTCCTTCACGACTCCCTGGCTGGGGTCCAAGAGATGGTGCGACACAGTGTCTAGAGACGTTATCAGATATGGTTCAGAATAGAAGCCAGTGGCGATCCTGCTGTAACCTTCTTTTACTTTCTTCATAAAAATGGTCGTTTCTTCCTTAACTGAAAGATTTCTTCTGGTTGTTCCTTTCCGCCCCCCCTCCATTATTATTAATACACTACCTTACACTAATCCGGTCGTTACTGTTCCTTTTTTTACGCTCCTTCCTGTTTTCTTTCTTTCCATTTTCATTGTTTCGTGTGGCGCATATATATTTGGTGCCCTCTTGTACCAATATTTATGTGTTCAAATATAATAATAATAATATGAATTTCTATTTCAAATGAATAAAATATTCTGAACATGTATGTAAATTTTATTGTGACCAGTCACTAGTATTCCATTTTTAATCATCTAATATACATGAGTCAATTGAAGCTAGACCACCATGAAAATATTTACTGCTACTAATAATATCACTAGAATTTTCATAGTAGGAAATCATACGAGTTGGTGATAGGATTGTATTATTATGTTCGAAGGGAGCAAAGGAATTCTCTACAATCACATTCATCATTCAATCTGATTCTTTATGATTATTAGTGGTCTAGCTTCAATTGACTCATGAATTCAATCATTAAATTACTTCAGTCTCCACAAAACCTCTCTGATCATCTAATATACTTTATGACTGATACAATTGAAGTAACCGTTTATTATCCATATCTTTCATGCTATAAATATTAGCTTAAAGCGCAATATATAGAATCCTATTTGGTGATGAAGTAACAATTGGAATTATTTTCAGATATTAATGAATTTTCTAGTATATATATATATATATATATATATATATATATATATATATATATTGTATGTCTTCGAACTAGGTTAGTAGATAATTCAATTTATCATCGTCATAGGAACAATAATAGAAGGGATATACTGTTACGGTATCTTTTAGTTACTGTTCGCTACTAAATGATGATATTTAAATAATCTTAGCTCCTTGGCAGAATATCATGTGGTCATAATAGATGATGCAATATGTATTTTCATATCTTAGTGTTCCATGCAATATTTATTATTTACATGAATCTCTTTCCGCTATCTTTGTGTAGATTCCACATTTTTCGGTTTTACACTCTTAGCTTTCCAGGTTCTTTTTCCTGTCTAATAATTGCTTTAATTAAATATCAGTGAGTTTGTGAAATCTTAACAGATGACTTATTGTAACTACATCTAAGCCTATTTATGCAAAAAAATTATGTAAAGCTGTTAAGGTCCTGTGGTTTATGAATATCGCTAACTTTTTTTCAGGGTCTAGAACTTACTGACCATACGAAAACATTACAAGAGTTAAGCATTTGTTCCAGGACTATTCTCTATTTATGGTCAGATGATCCAACATGGAATCCTAATCGAACAAGTTTTGATAATGGTACATTCAAGTTAACGACACAAAAGTTGAAATCAAATAGTCCATGTAAATCAAACTCTGGTAAGTTTTTTTATTCCAAAAATGCTTCTGCTATTCATGTCATCCTATTATTTTTATTTTTTTCTCTACATTCATATGATTAGTCTTTATGTTACCGAATTCTCAATCTTAACTTTCACTAAAATCTTATACAAAGTATCCTGCTTAGAATATAACATTGAAATATCTACTAGTTTACTGACCAGTTTAAAGTTCTGAAATTTCATTTTTATATAAATAATAGTCATTTGATATGGATTCATTGTTTAATGGACATAACATTATAAATTAATATCAGAAGGGGTTTTGTGGATATTATAGTAATTTCAATAGTTGAGATCATGAGTAAATTGAAGCCAGGCCACCATGGAAACCTGGGAGCACTAGACAACCGTTTCGTTTTATTGTGGGACTCCTCAGCAGTGCACATCTACGATATCGTACGCGGGATTCGAACCCAGGACCTATCAGTCTCGCGCGCGAACGCTTAATCTTTAGACCACTAAGACGGCATCCAATGGTGTTAATGTCTAAGTTCAACCAATCCGCGAAATTAACAGAAATCAATTTTTAAAAAGACTTTAACATTCAATAATTTCCGTCTTAGCATTTTGGCATTAGTCAATTTATCTTCATGAAATCATTATGTTATGTAAGAATAATTTTCATAATCTCATTTCAGAATATTTATTAAGTAATTATTGATAGCTGTTCTGCAGTCACGTGCATTTGTAAAATATAACAATGATGAACTGACTTACGTTTTGAATTTTTCCCAACTATTAATTTGTTAATCGAATTTTTGGTTTAACAGATAAAATCTATATGCTACTAAGTAACTTGAGAATAGATTTAATCATTTATTCTCCATGTGTTTTCTACTCACTCTCTCTGTTTCCCAACAACTTCCAAATTTATAGGGTGGACCGTCACCATATCAATCACGTTCATAAAACTAACCATTAGATTTTATTATCAACAATAATTTTTAATTGAAATAAAGCAAAAAGAACAAGATTTGCAAAATAACATGAATTCATTGTATTTTATAGCATCTCGCCAGTTGCAAACAACCTAAGATGACAATAGTAATATTAGGAGAGGTCTTGTGGAGATTGTAGTAATTTCAATAGTTCAGATCATGAGTCAGTTGGGACTAGATTCATGATCTCAACTATTGAAGCTACTTCAATCTCCACAAAACCCATCCTGATACTAATCAACATATGCTCAGTAGTCACTGGCTTGAAGATGTATATCCTAGAGTTCTTGTGAGAAGCAGTGACCAGTGGAGTTCAACCGGGTCACTTATCAAATAGGAACTCACTGATGACAAAGGTGGATGTGTCGCTCAATTTCGTGGATTACTTGAAGTTGGAAATTAACACTGTTGGATGCCAGCTCGGTGGTCTAATGGTCAAGCGCTCGCAGGCGAGACCGATAGATCCCGGGTTCGAATCCTGCGGGCGGTATCGTGAATGTGCATTGCTGAGGAGTCCCACAATGGGACGAAATGGCCGTCCGGGTTTCCATGGTGGCCTGGCTTCAATTCACTCATGATCTCAACTATTAAAATGGTAATATTATTGTAAGAAAAAAACATTTGGCGAGACTACGATTTATGGACGACCTTTGAGTGAAGCTAGACTGACCTTGAGAGTGTCCACCTAATAACCAAGACGAAATGAGGGTTATAAACCTGTGTGAGGAATCAGAACTATGATTTACAGTTGTTGGTTAAGATTAGAAATTATATTTAGGGTTTTCATCACGAACTGACATCAGTTATAATCACAAAACTCTATTTTATCCAAATGGATGAGTGAATCTCGCGCCAAAATCCGAAACCTGTTATCTTATACGTGATTGGTTCGTCTTGCCAAGCTTTTTTTACATACCTAAATCAATGAAGTTTAGTTCAAAACAAGCGGAAATAACATATTTAACATGATAGTTAAAAATGATTATTATTGTTTGTATGTTTGAGATGAAATCATAAAAAGAAAAGGGTAAGGGATATGGTAAATAATAATAAAAAGACAATAAATAAAAATATATCATTAATAAATGAGTACATTAAATGCAAGTTTTAACGTCATACATAAATGTCAGTGGAAATCGTCTAATTGGAATTCTTTACTACCTAACATACATCATTTTCATTTCAGAATCAATTCATACAGAATCAGGATTCAAGGGAACACGACTGCTTGAATTTTAACCGGATAGTTTTTTATTGCTTCAGTCTTTTCTCTACTCTAATTAACCACTTTTCCTGTTGTCCTGCTTTTTTTATCTTCCAAACTCGATGATTATATATATACATGTATTTCTTGTTTGCTACTAATATTTTATGTCCCGAATGATAAAGATGCATGACTTAAACAATTTTGTAGATCTATGACCTAATTATAATAACTTATGACTGATCAAGTATTTTTGCATGTTTACTTTTATTTTCAAAATTGTTAGTTAACAAAGATTTGAATCTGTAAACTTATATTTGTATATATTCATTGTATACTTTGAATCGTACAATTTAACTCTGGTTTCGATTAGACGAAAAAGCATAATTATGTTCAATTAATTCATTAGTTATGATTAGTTAGTCAGATAAACAGTGGAATCAAGACTTTTAGTTGTTTGAATTTCTTGAGTACACTTCATTATGTACTTAGTTACTTATACATGTTACCCCTTGTGGGGGGGCATAGGCCGACCACCAGCATACTCTGTCTTTGGCAGTTGTTTTCAGTTGCTATACGTTCTTATTATGTCTGATTCATTCCGTAACACAGTGTTCTTTGGTCTTTCAGTCTTCCGTTTCCCTTCAAGATTCCAAGTTAGCGCTTACCTCGTGATGCAGTTTGATTATTTCCTCGATGTATGTTCTACCCACCTCCAGCGTCATTTCCTAGTTTACGCTTTAACTGGAAACTGGTTGTCCTCTCCCACAGTAAGCTGTTACTGATGGTATCCGACCAACGGACATTGATTATCTTGAGTAGAAAATTGTTATAAATACTTGTACTCTTTGATGGTGTTTGTGATAGTTCTCAAGTTTCAGTTCGGTATAGTAGAACTGTCTTGACGTTCGTATTGAGGATTCTGACTTTGATACTGATTGAGTCTTTTCGAATCCCATATATCCTTCGACTGTAGGTCCTTATATATTTAATCGTTGGTATCTTGACTGTCCGGTGTGATTATTGTCGTATGGTGTTTGTGGATTACATAAGAAGTAACACTACGGAATAGAATATTATCGAAAATAGTTGACATTCTCAACTACCATTTTCCTTAAGTGTAATTACAAAGACCACAATTTTAAGTCATTTGGTACACATATTAGATGGATTATGTTGGTAATAGGTAGTAAGCTACTGTATAATTGTTATTTCATCTTGATACTAAATTTGGTTAGTTTAGTGGAGAGTCCGTTATGAAACTGTTTATTAATAACTCAGATAAACAAATCTTAACCTACCACAATTATTTGTTGCAATAACACGGGAAGCGTAAGTGAATAAAATGAAGATGTAATAATGGTATAATTAACAGTAGGAAAATGTATATAATACAAAAGGAATGGATTGGAACAATGAAAAACGCATACCCAACACGACTCAGACTAACGATCACTCATTTTTCCCCTTAGAGATATCTCCAGTTAATCATCACATCAGAGTTTCAATTAAGCCATAAAAAAGAAAGTTTCAATTATAAAATACAAATCCTTTTTTAATAACTAGAAAGGGTTTGCACTAAACTTTATATTTAGTTAGGAAAAAAGAACGTTAAGAACATCATCGACCTGGATGTACAAAGCATTTCCCTATTCCTGATAGATTACAAAATTTTGTAAGTTACTTTACACTCAAGCTATCGAGTTTGTGGGCTTTTGAAATACGAGCTAGAAAGTTTCCAAATATCTGCATTGATATCAGAGATATTAAGGAAATTTTGCAGTACTAATTAACGACGTCCCACAAGTATAACATTGAATAGTATTTAACTCAGGATCCTCGAATTCAGAACATCGTTATCATTATTTGCCTAAATCGACTGTTTTGTGTTATCCTAATTTCTGCTGTGACCTTCAGGTACGAGACGTGCTGTACGGCTAACTGGAAACATTAATCATCGTGAATTTTTGCTATTAGTACACGTATCTTATATTCCATCAGTAAGATACGTGAAACAGAGGTTCTCATTGTCAAATCATTTATCTACACTAATGGGTATGAAAGATGTAGTTTTGAGTTGACTTATTGTAACAGTCTGGTCAGACAGCTCTGATAAGTGCCAGCTTGCTTGGAATATATAGGGGTGCTTCATAAAATATATTTTAATTTTCCAGAGCCTAGTTCATCGTGAACATGAAAAGCCTGAATCCGACTTGCTTTTTCAGATGGAAATGACTTGAAATCTTTATGCTTTAATAACACTAAAGGATCATGGACTTTATTTCAGAAAGTAACCAACCTAAAATTAACTATGCTGTTTCTGATAAACTGCAAAATATGCTGACACTTGCGAAATTCTCGTTCACAACTTAAAAAGCAGTGTTGGGTTTTAATGATTTCCTAACAAATTCTTTACATTTAGTGGTCTATTGTGAAAGATTTAGTGTAAAAAATGTTTTTAAATTTAGGTATACACAAGAACCTGAAAATATGGTTTCCATAACCAGTTACCGGCACAGATAAATTTGGTAATAGCTGGGAGTTATTCCATAACATTTGAGACACCTGTAGCCAAAAGCCTGGTATCAGTAAGATAATGGCCCAAAAAACCAGTTCCTAAAGATTCTGCGTGGAGCTTCTGAAGGAACAGATAATCTGGCTCATTTTTTCAGCAACTTTAATGAATTTACCTTATTTCAAATGACTGATGAGTGGGCTCAACGAAGCCTGGCTTCGGAAGCTTACAGTGTAAAAAGGATCGTAATTTTTGTCTGTCGCTCTTCAAATGTGGAATCAGAATTCTGGTCAGGGTACCTAATTTAAGGTGAATGACATCATTAGAGACTACAATTGTAAAGGAAGTTACTGACACTTCTTACGCGTAAATACTTGGCCTAGAAATATGTGTGAATGAAACTTCGTAAACGATTCGTATAGTATGTTTACAGCTATTGTGTGTGCGAACGACTATCAAAGCAATTAAGAATATAGACTTGCAACACAACAGTCGAACGCTAGGCGTTGGACTGTTAAGCCACAGCATCAATATACATAGTAATGAGTTAGTTGAAAATTTTCGATAAAAACTGAGTAATATCTGAAATTGTGGTGTAATTTAGAACGCTCGTAAATTTACAGATAAGATCTCTTAAACACAAATGAGCAGCACTTTGGCTCATAAATTTCTGAGTTTATAATAATATAATGTTATAGACTCGCATGCTTAATTTCTAGTTTCCAATTTAACGGATATAAAACACATCTAAATTTCGTAACCATTCATTTGTTTTATATTTCACACAAATTAGTTTTTTGTGCCAATATAGGAAGTGTTCTGAGACGAGTCATTAGAGAAATATTTTCATAGTTAGAATGGTGCTTGGAACTAGACAATAACAAGATGAACAATATAATTCAAATGAAAACATTTTTGTGAAGTACTGTGGCCACAGATATAGAAAAAATTGCATAATAAACAGTTTAACTATATTGTGTAAGTGAATTCAGTCGAGTGGAATGATTATATACCTACTAACAACACTAAACACAATGACTACACAAAAGCAAGCGATCGTCACACAGTGAGCTTTTGTTAAACTGTAAATAAACAGCACAAAAATCTTCGACGCGTATTCTTTGAACTTTTATTTATTTGAATACAAATGCTGGTACAAAATGGAATCAGATACATATGCGTGGGCGGTTCTGAAAATTATTGGTATCACAATTAAGTACCCACATATTGGAAGTCTGATACAAAATGACTGTCATTGGCATAATAAAACCTGTTAATAAAAGATGAACCTGTGCGCTTAAATCTGAGCCACACTTTGCGTAAAAGCTAGTGATATTCTTCAGCTGCCCGAACCAAAGCAGGTTGAGCGGGTTCTGAATCTAAGACTAAAAAACTGAAAGTCGTTGATATATCATTAAGCCACACCCCAGAATAGGGAAAAAAGCTAATTACCAGTCAGCTACATACAGCAATTCAATGATTAATTGCTTATGGTTTGGAACCTTAGAATTCTTAAATCAAAAATGCTAGTGGCTATATTACAAGCGAGCTGCACGACCTAAAATGCCATTTTTAGTTGTTACCAACTTACACCACCTGTATTTGTATACTGGGTATTAGTTGTTTTCAAGATGCACTAAGGTTATGGGGTATGGTCACTGAAAGAAGATAAGTAATGTATTCGATCATGTGCTTTCGAATCACTAGACGCTTTTAATAATGAATAGCCAGGTTAATAGGGTTATTTCGTAAATAGAGTGCTCTGTAAAATTGGAAAATCATCTGATAAGGTTGTAACTTTAGAGAATAGCGATGGGTACGACAGTAAGTTTATCAACGCCAAAGTTGCTCAAACCACGAGACATTATCCGTTTAAGGAACCACTTATATATGCCATGTGTTTAGTACGAGAGCAATTATTGATAGTTGAAGGCCTCACATGACTAGAAAATTGTCGGGGCGGTAAGACTGCATTTGTCTTTTATATGTATGACATAAATGATGTCCAGTTCATTCTCTAACTTCAAGTAAGTACTTATTATCGGATTATTCATACTGCCTATTAAGTTTTCACTTGTTTCACCCAGTTTCCCGCTACTAACTCTATTACCAATTTGATGCCTCTTATTTTGATTTCCTTCAACTGTGTTTGTGTAATGTATGATAACTTAGATTGATCTTGTTATCGTTATATGAACTTTCCATTCACATTGGTAGCCATCAATACTTTAAGCGTCTCAAACTGATTGAAGGAATCAATAAATCATTGGTAAATTTCCGCTCGGTTATCTCAACTTTTCAAGGGTAATCTAAGGGGAAATTGTCTTTAAGGTCAGATGAACACTACATATGTATTGGTTCGATCATGTTGAAACGTAAACACAAAGTCGGATTATGAGTTTTTACTAATATTAAGTTCGCCAAACAAATAGTCGTAAGAGACAATCAAATATATTACAAAGCGAAACAACAATCCATGAGAAAAAAGTGAGGCTGAAGATTTATAATTACTAGAATAAAAACATCGACTGATCAGCAATGCACGCTTCATAAGTTACGTTTGGTCAGCTTTATTAACTGTGAATTTTGATGCTCCCAATCCTTCAGAACAAAACTAAAAACTCTTAATGGTAATAAACCCAAATTTACGGCTTATCAATCTGAATTATCGAATTCTAAACAACAAACCATAGTTCTTATGATACGATATTCAGTCACTTAAGATTTATCTTGTCTTTGTCTAAAGCTCCTCATACGAACATAAAGTTGGTCACTGATTTGCACCATCATATATAAGGCTACTTAAACATGACAATCTTATTACACTCAAATGTTGATGGGACTCCACAAACTGTGAAAACCTAGCTTGGTGCAGTAATAATGGTACCATATGCCTGTCATTGGTGTGAATTAGTAAGCATATGTAGTGATAATCGGGGGGGGGAGTGTTTTATTATATCATCTACACAATGTGAACGCACTTAATTGGCGAATGTGAGTTTGAAAACTAAAGGAGACCTTAGACATAACTTGATAAAACTGACCGAAAAGATAGAAACAGGAAACAGTGAATAAATATAAGCATTACACATAGACATATTGGTTTTACTGATAAGACTTATTCATAAGTACAAACGAGGAACTGGTAGTATAACCAGATCACTAAAATGACCTCTCTCGGATGATAATACAGCTATCCAAACTGTATCACCACAATATTAACCAACATACTATAATAAAGCTTGTCACGTTAGTTACGGACTACCCACATGTACCTAGTTACGATAAATATTAGATTATATGCAACAAAATTTTGAAGTAGGTGATATCAGTGACCAGTGGACTGCGGTGAATGAACTACTCTACTAACAAAAATGATACGAACTAAGCGATTACCTTCATGAAACCTGCACTTTGGCAGTATATGGAGTTGAACAAAAAAGAGAGTGGACAAGATGCTGTTGGTGTATTTATTAACAGTGTAAATATATGATGTATTTACATTGGAGTGAGAGTTTAATCGGATTCTGAGTCGGATTCTCTAGCTTCTGTAGCTGATAACGATCTTTCGAGCACGTAAGCAGTTTGAGGATGAATACGGCGGTAGTAATCACTAACTTCTCCAGTTATTTCAAAACCGAAACGTTTGTAGAACGCTACTGCGCCTTCATTACCAACATGAACATGCAGATAAATACTTTTAATACCACCGTGCTTTAAACAGCTCCTAATGACATGTTTTAACATAAGTGTACCAACACCATAGCCTCTGTATGGTGCAAGACATCCCAAAGTCATAATATAACACTTCTTGACAGTTTGATTAGCTTGGCCGTTATTATCATCCGTAGCCAAATCGACATTCTTCACAACAACATTCTCTATCCGATAACTAACAGCTCCGACGACGATATCATTAAAGTAAGCAAGTCTGCACATCTTACTATTCTTTAGAACATCACTATAAAATTTCTCTGTGTATGTGACTGGGAATACAGTTTGATTTATCAATCTGAATTGCTTGATATTATGAGGAGTAAGTTGTCCGAGCTCGATCTTTTTGTATACTTTGCTCTCATTAGTACTCCTACCCTTTTGTTCGACTGCACCACTTTGTTCTGAATGTACAGCAAGCATTGCTGGCAATGTCCAAAATTGTATAACCGCGGTTGGGAAGATGATCAACTTAGGCGCGAAATAACTTCAAACCTCAAACTTTCTCCTGCAGATTTAGTGAATTATTTATTTATTCGAACTTGCGTTTGTCTTTTGGAAGAGCTTTAGTTGTAATAGAAAGATACGGTTGTGGCTGTACCATCTGTGAAATCGAAAGGCAAAACAATCAGTGCTGTCATGGAAATGGTTATGGAATAATACTTTATGTCATTACCTCAGTATGCACTTAACTAAAGTCAACAGCAATGCCTATTTGAGAAGTCTCTGAAGATTGGCTGAGCTTTATGTTATTATTTTTGTTGTTGTAAACTGGGTCAACTTAGAAATAGGGTCATCGACATCGTCATTTGATTGCAAACTGTTCGAAAACTCAATTACACTAACTTTATGCCAGTACATTAGAGATCTCACCAAATAGGAATCACGAAGCTCCTCACCTCTCTTGGACTTAGTTTTCATACGCAGTGATGACGTCGGTCAAATAACTTTTCTACCATTTCTAAGGAGATGCGATCATGCAGTTTTCTTATCCGAATTCATGGCTGAGATGGCCTGTCAAACAGTTGCTCCGTCCCGTCCCAACATATGAAAAGCAGACATGAAGGTGATAAACTCTACGGCACCTGCTGAAAACTAGGAAATTGACTCAGAAATATCAGTAGAAGAGGCATGAAATGATAGAGGATGATCATGAAAAGGCAGAGGCTATGAAAAACTATTTTGTGGCATTTTCCACTCAGCAGCCCCTTCTAGACGAAGAACTACACCCAAACGCAAAGTTAACAAACGTTTGCTCACCGTGGACTGTGGTCATGACGATGTATTTAAGATTTTAGCACCTTAGACACGGAGAAGTTAGCAGGAACGGATTAACTATACCCTGAGACAAATAACGCAATATATTGCCGCTACACTAACTGCGATATTCATTATGTCACTTGACTAAGGTGTGTTAATTATGAACTGGAAGGATGCCATCTTCACTACCATACATAAAACAGGAATAAGAAAACTTCCATCGAACTACATACCCGTTAGCCTCACCAGTGTCGTAGATAAAATACTGGAAAGCAGAGTCAAATAGACCATAATGGCATTTGTGGAAACCAACAACTTATTAAACAACGAACAACATGGATTCGGAAAAGGTTTATCTTGTATAACAAACCTTATAGCAAGAGAGCAATCGATAAAGGCTCCAGACAACAAAAAAAATGAGTGGATGATATCTACACGTACTTCAGCAAAGCATTTGACAAGGTGCCAACAAATAAACTGCTATTGAAGCCAGAAAATCTTGATATTGCGTACCTCTACTAAAATGCCTTAAGGATTTCCTGGTGGGTCGTAGACAGAAAGTAAGAGTAATTCCCTAGCGCTTCTCTTGGAAACAAATATATATAGTGGAATACCGCGAAGCTATGCCCTAGGTCTCTCACTTTTTATGCTGTATGTAAATAACCTCTCAAGCATAGTAGAGTTCCCAATGTTATGATAGGCTGACGTAGAAATCTGGCTAGTAATAACCGGAGATGCAGATGTATGCGCACTTCAGACAAACTAAAATAATGTGAATAACTGGTCTAAAGAGTGGCTGATGCCTATCAACGTTGCATAGAGTGTCTAAATGCACCTTTGGCATACAAAGGTAAACAAGTACAGCATGAGGGAAGTGCCAGTATTACATTATGACAAATCTACAATGTTAGGATTAGGTCGATTATTAGAGCAGTAATGATATAATAGTAGACCATAATACAACAAGTACCAGTGTTACGGCCCCACATTGATTTTGGGGTGACAGTGAGTCATGATCTAAGGACCACGGCCCATCGCCAGGAGGTCGCAGCTAAGGGGTTTAGAACCTTATGGGTTTTAAGAAGGATATTCACCAAGTTAGATACCACCGTGTTCAATACAGTATACACAACCTTAGTGAGAACACCAATCTTGAGACCTGCGTTCAGGCTGCAATCCCCTGTTTAATAGGTGACTTGGATATCCTGGGAAAAGTACAGAGGGCAGCTACACGTGCAATTCCAGAACCCCGGGATTTACCATAAAAAGAGAGGCCTGAAAATTTAGACTTTTTTACTCTGTCCTATCGCAGACTAAGAAGTGGTCTATTTTTGATGTACAGAATGCTAAGAAATGATTTCGGACACAATATGTCCTCTCTTTTTCTTCCTACTAGATCGTGACATCTCAGAGTACATAGAAAAGTCAAGGACGAACAACAATACCCGTGATATACAGATTTTCACACCAAGTCATCAAGACTTGGAACCTGTTACCCGAAGGAATGTTGTCCGCGCTCTCAACTGATTGATTCAAGAGAAGACTAGACACCCATAGAAGCATACTAGAAAAGGAATAAGATAGGCCTTCTGTCCTTATCACACAAATTTAAATCTGAAATCTGTTATTCACCTAGCCGATGTATGATCTTATGTAGGCGAAAGGCTTAGCGATAACTCATAGATTTCAGTCTTCAACAATAGATATGAGACCAATTTTACGTATTTCATTGGCTATACAGACATGGAGTGGTCGTACTTCAATCAGACATTCAATCTGTTCAAACTACCCAGATGTTTGATGTTACACGATCTGATATGTTAAAATTAGGATACTATAAAGTTATTGAGTAGATAGTTTTCAGGAAACTCATCTACCACTCTCTGCGGTCTGTGTAACTAGAAAAGTCAAAAGTTTGATCGAACGATCTATTGTGCTTACTTTCTTGAATTCACAAATAATCTCCAGTATTAACTTTTATGTGGCAAATTACAGTTACTCAATTCATTTTCAATTGAGTGGCATTTTAGTTGTTGTTTGACATAGAAGTAATTACAAATATCTTGAAATATCCGACATGTTTTTCTCCATTTAAAATACTTGATTCATAAAAGTTTCATTATTCCGGATTAAAAACTGACAAGCCACTCTATTGTAATAGTCTCTAGAGAAACATTTCGATTATATCTGAATGAGAGCATCGGAATACCCAAAGACACAAATGACGTGGATACGCATTTAGGCAGCCTAAATTCATCGGTATATTCGTATGCTTACCGGTATAACGTGTTTACATTGTGTCCGACACCGAAAGACATGGCGCTAAGCGAAAAAGTATGGCATCCATAACGGAATTTCATACAGAATCAAGTAAAAATATCGCCCCCGAACGCCCTGGTACGGCCGAGAGTGGGGAGAGTCCGCTCTCCCTCTCGAAATACTCTCACACGGCCGCGCGTATACAGCCTCTGCCAGGGAAGTCCTACTCATTGCCTTCTCGTGGCGGGGGTGTTGTTTACGAAAATGAGAGGACGAAAAGCGAACGTCCGGCGCTTTAACCGGATCACAAACCAATGGTGCACATAGGCTCCAGTATCCTGCGGGAACAAATGGCGTATGAACCAATCGTTGGTCACCGGCTACCATGGGATTGCATCTCCTCACGATGTTCCACTGCCTTGTGGGTTAGACCATTAGGTCAAAGGCTCGGGGTGTGGTCCCCTAAGATAACCACCTGCTTCGGTTTGGGCACCCGGGCCCAGATGACTTACCTCCGGCTCTTTTTAAAGATGGTGGTGACATTCTGACTAAGGAATTGACGACGTTGTTTACAAAGGTTTGGGAATTAGAGAGTGTACCAACGTCATGGAATGAGTCGATAGTTGTCCCTATCTTTAAAAAGGGTTCACGTCGTTCCTGCAACAACTATCGGGGATAAGTCTACTTCCGATTGCGTCCAAGCTATTGGCTTCCGTCATACTTCGTAGGTTGTTCAAAACCCGAGAAAGATTGACTCGCGAGGAGCAGGCTGGGTTTCGTTCTGGTCGAGGATGTATTGATCATATCTTCACCCTCCGCCAAATGTTAGAACATCGCCATACGTATCAAAGGCCAACAATCGTAGTGTTTCTTGACATCAGGGCTGCCTTCGATTCGTTGGACAGGACTGTTCTCTGAGATTGTCTATTGAAGAAGGGTGTGCCTGAGAAGTTTATTAACATCCTAAAAGCCCTATATATAAACACCTCAGACAGAGTGAGGGCATACAACCACCTCTCTCCATTGTTCCATTCGAGTAGTGTGGTTAGATAGGGTTGCTCAATCTCACCATTCCTCTTCAACTTTGCCATCGATGACATTCTGAAAACAGTTCTGATAGATATAGGTAATGTCGGTGTGGATCTGTTGCCTGGAGAAATACTTCTCGACCTTGAGTATGCAGATGATATTGTCTTGCTGTGCGATAACGCCCAAGCTATGCAATCCGCATTTAATCAGTAGGCAATCAATGTCCGTAAGTATGGTATCTGCTTTGCACCTTCGAAGTGCAAAGTACTTCTACAAGACTGGCAGGATTCTAATCCTGTACTCACCCTGGATGGTGAACAGATAGACGTAATCGAAAAGCTGCATAAGTGCTGGTGGTGGCGTGAGTGATGAGATCAATGCACGTATAGTGAAAGTCAGAGCGGCTTACACCAGTCTGGGCCATCTTGGGCGCCTTTGTGATGTTAGTCTGGCTGTAAAAGGTCGGATCTACAACGCGTCGGTGAGAGCAGTTTTGCTCTATGCTTGTGAAACCTGGCCCCTCTGAGTTGAGGATGTTAGACAACTCTCTGTGTTCGATCATCGTTGTCTCCGAAGGATTGCTGATATCCAGTGGCAACACCATGTTAGTAATGCAGAGGTTCGGCATCGTGTGCTCATGCACAGAGATGTTAATGCGATCAGTGTCACCGTCTTGAAACACCGACTTCGGTGGCTTAGACATGTTTTACGAATGTTGTCCCAGAGAATTCCACGTCGTGCATTGTTTGCCGACGCTGGGACTGGTTGGAAAAAGCGGAGAGGTGGTCAGTGTATGACATGGTGTCGTGGTATTTAAGAAAGCTGCGAAGGGCTGGCTTGTGTTGGTCCTTCACGACTCCCTGGCTGGGGTCCAA